ATGTGAATCCATAAATGGATATCACATTCACGAGGGTGGATCACGTTTGTGTATCGCACCCAAGTGACAGGTCAAAAGTAATCATGGATACTTTGAATGAAACATTAAGTATATTACTTAATGTTTACGTGTAACTAGATGCCCTGTTACAATATATCTCCATAAGGAGAGGATCAATAATACACTTTATGCAATATGATCCAATTATTTAATCGTGATATGAGCTGAATAATTATATAATTCAACGTCGTGTGACCCTGCTACACCACTTCCATATCGTATACGTCGAATCCAGTTATATGTTGTTACGTCGCTTGCTAATACTACTGGCAAACCAAAAGTGTAGTTGACGCAAACACCGACTCCCTCTGGCGAGATTCTAACAGTATGAGAAATGTGAGAAAGGTTTGACCAGATGCACAAAAAGCTGGCTTCATCTCTTGCATTTGAGACCACCGACACGAATTGTAGAAAACATTTATGCCGGCATTACCAGCAATGTTTTTATATCTGAAGGCACAAGCAATTTTTGTATCTGCTCTAACTAGTAAAACTAAAAGTTACACGCACCCGTTAAGCAGGCGATACTCAACGGGCAGGTCTAAAAAGGTACGTAAGTACTTAAGACCTGTCGCTTGGGTAAGACACATCATAAGACACACCTATGCGTATGTAAATGTATTCACATTGGTCGCCCAGCTTGAACTAGGCGTCATCAAATGACGTCAGTCTGTTATGTCATTAAGCGAGCTTGAATATATGTAAGCTCGCAAGATGCGCATCTAATCGCTTCCTTGCGTGCTTAAAAGGCGTGTGCTAAGTAGACGTGGCAGCTTTTTTAAAGTGTCATCCACACTTAGCATATGAAATGTCACAAAAAGACACGACATACCAAGAACTGAATTGGTTAATATTTTTGCTGATATGTTTTTTAACTTTCCATGAGTTTTACATTAAAAATGCGGTACTCATTTAATTTTTCTTGTAAAGAAGGGTTTTTTCGAAATACCATAATTATAGAGCTAGAAATGTTACCACCAGCACCAATCAATCCTAAAGTCGCTAATCCTGCACCTAACAAGTGTAAAAGCTTGTGTAGTACGATCACAATCTGCGTATTAAAAAACATGGGGACCTCGTTACCTTGTAATTCACAAAGTTTAGTCGCAGCACACCGTCAGATGTAACCTTGTGGGTAGCCATCGATGAGTTAACAAGTGACCTGCGTTCGCTGACGAACCGCATTGTACAACTTGGCCACGATGTTAGAATAATCGAGTGCTAAGGCCGATTTGAGCGCGTACTCAGTAATCTGTCCGCATGAAATCGGCCTGGCGCTTGATGTACTGAGTGCCAAGTACGAACATCCGAGTGTTTGTTTTCCCCCAAGGAGTGTCAACGCTGCGCAAGTTTGATATGGCAGAATGCTGAAGAAAAGAATTGAAAAGAGTGATTTTTTCTTCTTGGGACGAAGTAGACTAAAGAACTTTAATGAAGTGTTCTTTTCTACAAAAAAGTTGGGACGAAGTAGACTAAATTTCTTTTTTAAAATTTCTGCAGCAATAAATCATTGACGCCTCGTTGTCGACAACCATCATTAATGGTCCATTCAAGTCCACTGAGTGCTTCTAAAAATTTCTCTATCAGTCGTTAAAACATTATCTTTCCATTTATTCAATTTATCGATTTGTATAATCGTTGACTGCACCAGTCGAACGCAAGTACAAACAATGACTTACTGCTCAGTTGGGATTTTGCTCGATTAATACTAAGCGCTCAGCGTCGATGTTTGAAGCAGAATATTGGGAGGACAAGTGGCCGTTTGGAGGAGAAGGTGAACCTGATGATGTACCCGTGCCAAAGGGAGAAGTGTGTGTCAAAATTAGCGAACTTGTAGGTTTGGCAGACGAAAACGCTGGAGAGTATTCGTTCGGTGGTCAAGCTGACACTCTGCCGGTTGATCCAGGACTATTTGTAGACTCTCTGGGAATGATCTCTTTTCCGCTTGTTGAAGAGGAAGCGAAGAAGCTGATTGCAAAATGTGAAAAGTCTCCGTACGGACACAACATGGAAACTAGGATTAATGAGTACGTCCGGAAGAGTTGGCAGCTTCAACCGGATCAAGTCGAGACAAAAAACCGTTCTTGGGAGAAAGGACTTGATAAGTTGACTGAAATCATAGCAAATCGCTTGGGGTACGAAGGAATTCCACTGCAGTGCAAATTGTACAAGGTGCTTGTATACGGAGAGGGTGGTCACTTTCGCAGTCACCGTGATACCGAGAAAGAGGACGGCATGATTGCAACGTTAGTCGTTCAGCCACCAAGCATACATGAAGGAGGTGACTTAGAGGTTGATCGAAATGGAAAAGTAGTGCAACACCACGACTTTGGCAAGGCCGATGGCACTGCGGCTTATTTGCCTCACTTTGCTGTGCATTATGCTGATGCAGAGCATAATTTAGAAGAAGTTACGAAGGGATTCCGCTTGGCTATGGTGTACTCGATTTGTCTCCCGGCAACGATGCATCACCTACGGAAAGACCCGACATGGACCGTCCCGGACGCCCTTAGCGTTGCTATCAGTCAAATGGAAAACGAATCATTTGCATTGTTATTATCCCACCATTACACGAAAAAAAGCATTGGAGATTTGGGTTGCGCAGCTCTCAAAGGAATCGATAGGGCCAGATTCCAAGCCCTTGAAGTTGCAAATTCCCGAGTGTCCGACGATAAGAAACTTCGATTCTTCATTGCGAAATTGTCGTTAAAGCTTGATATAAGCTTATCCGACTCTTCATGCTGGGGGCGAAAACAAGCATTTCACTGGTATACCACTAGCGGGGAAGATCTTGGACGCTGGAAGGACGAAGAGGGTGGTAAAATGCTTAAATTTAACTTTCTGAATCCTGGAGGTGAAACGTTTTACTGGCTATGGGATTCTTTTACTAGATCGGAAGATATAGACTTCACGGGTAACGAGGGCCCGATCAAGAGCACAAAATATTCTAGATTTGCAATTTTTGCGTGGCCTGCCGTCAGACATGAGGAAAATATGCTAAACTTTACGTCTGCTGAGCACGCCATTGAAGATTTGGCATCTCGCAAACCAGTTAGCGCTGCGGCACTTCGCACATTTTTGGATGCGGCTAGTTCAAAATTTGGTTGGGGCGTAGAAGATCGAGGGCGACGTGGTGCGATGGCTTCTGTCAGATTTTGCCGGTCCTTTCTGAATTTACTAGTGGATGTTGGAGATCCAGAATTGACAAAGTTGTTCCTTAGCAAGTATTGTCCCAGATTGGGGAAGCAAAACGAAAACGCATCGCTGATCCCAGCATTTATCAAGATTGCCAGCACTTTTTCATGGGATGACGTTGGTGAAGCATTGTTGGATATTCTGGGTACCCAATCACCTTACTGGGGTTACGGTGAAAAGCCCGGGGACTCGGCTGTGGAACTGCTGTTACGAGTGGCTGCTGGTTTAAATGATGGAGTACCTCGGCAGGCTCTGCTCGCTAAAGCTTTGAAAAAAATCGAAAAAGAGAAAACGATCTTGCATTCTTCCACAGCAGCTGAAGTTTTGTGGAAACATGCTATCTGCCTTGGTGACTCCCAGTCTTTCGATATGGTGATAAGTAAGCTTGATAAAATGGAGCCAAGTGAGCTTGGTCCATTCGGCAACGTGTTAGTACAGCATGGCAGCGACTTCGATCCAACGAGCGAGCAGTTTGCTTTGCTGTCGAAGATTGCTGCAAAACGTGTGGAGTGGTTGAAAGGCGAAATTCATAAATTAGATAAGTTGAGCAAGACTTTTTCATGGGAGATGCCGTACGCGGGGTTTTCCGAGCGCAAAGAGATCACGGAGTTTTTACGTGGTCCTCAGCAATCGATGACACTGAAAGGGGAGAGAAGTGATCAAAACTTTATGAACCTTCGCACGGCGAAGGAATTAGCTACTACCTGCAATGATGAACGTATTCGTGAGTCTTCATACGTTGCCAAAGCATCCGTAAGCGAACATGAAGACGCAGTTGTGATAATTACTAAAACACGTAAGTGGTACGAGGACTCCCAGGCGAATTTGGTGCGATATGCAGAAGAAATGGCAAATCTAAGCGATGTCTACAAGGGATCAAAGGTCATGATTCCGACAAAGAGACCACGTCTTGAGTAAGAAACTGGAATTTACTTTGGCATAGTAGGTCGATTAAAACCTGTTCAACACGTTTCTTAAACTTACATCTAAGTTCACGTAGCTCTCTATAATAGTCTCGGAAACTTTTCTCAAGCTTAGCGAGTCAACCACAAATTAGTCAGCTCAGCCTGCATCACTCAATACAATACGAACGAGTTGAGCGACCACCTGCTTCTAAGTTCATTCCAGTTGAAAAAGATTTTGGAAATGGATGTGGTCATTTGGTGGAAAAGATGACGCCACCTAACCCTACTGTGACATTTTGTCGCAAGATGATGGTATTCTAAAAATTTGCTAAAGAGATGACTTACAAGGGCCTACACAACCTTTGGTCAGACCATAAGATGTCTGAAGAGCAATTCATCAACGTGGACACCGTAAAGCTTTTTTACGGTCGGTGTATCGGGGTTACACGACAATAAATATATACATTAAACGTATCTATTCGCCGTCGTGTAACCCCATTACATACGTAGTTATAAACATTGTATTTCTTATACTTTCATTTGAGGAGGTACCAAGTATGAGCATTGAAGCACGGTATCGGTAATACCTTACTATATCGGCTTGGACTTGATAACCGATATCGCCATACTAGATACATCATACACAGATGTTTGGATGACACGTCATCCATTAAAGAACCCTGCATAGTATAATGACTATTATGTTTACGATTATAGTGGTCAAATCTAGTGTAGGGTACTTTGGGTAGGTTCATTCCTATAGATCTTAATGCATAAATTAAACCAGCTCTTATCTTGAGCCGTAGAGAAAAAAGCCAGTATTGGATTACTTCTCTTATGCGCTTCGTGCGGTAGTTTTCTAAACGTTGAAGCTCCTACCTGCAACAAACTAATTCAGGCCGAACGTGATCAGCTCGCGCAGAAATTGATGGATCAAGAAAACGAGCGCAATCAGGCCATCCTGTCTCGAGACTCTCTCCTCACCCGTCTCACCAATTTTGTTTCGGGCGTGGGATCGAAATCTTCATCTACATCTCCTAGTGTTTCATTTGAAGCATATCTCCCTAAACAAAACGTCACCAAGAAATTTCTGACCCAAGTGCACTCCCTGCCAAACACGCTTGTCAGGCAGCGGTTTCTCCTGAACTCTCCATTTCTCAGTCACCTACCCGATCTGAGGTTGCCACGACTGGCCCGTTCTGGACTCATTTCCTTCTCCCTTACTCGAAAATCCCAATGAGGAGGACCGGCTTGATGACTCTTCGGGCTAGACGGATGACTCTTTGCTAGCTGCGTTATCCTCTTCCCGGTTCACATCATGTCGCAACATGGCAAGTTCATCACATTAGTCGCTAATCGAGGTCGACACACCTAGCCCACTCCCTTCGCCTTCTCGAGTGTCGAAGGACGCTTTGTTTGGTGAGCCTTCGAGTGATTCTGATGGATTAAGCAGCATCAGCAGCGATCCTCGAGACGATTGCAATCAGCTGTTCAGCGTGGATGGATTCTAGGCTATCCCGGTCACCGCTGTACCTTGGGATAAATGAATACCCGGATATCCAGATACCGGAGTCGAGTCCCTCGTTCATCTGCGGAAACTACTTCATGGTCATCTCGTCGGATCAGCTTGACCAGCGTTTCGGAGTTAGACGTGGAATTCTTCCACCGTCACTTCTCAAAACCTCCTGGATTTATTTTTCCGTCTCTGGTAAATTCCGCCGTTCTTCCGCGTCTGATTGGTCTTCCTCACTAATCACATATCTCCAGATCAACATATTGTACGATCGCCGACCTTGAGAAATGGATGCACGCCGAATTGATCCAATATTTTCCAGCGTGTTATATGGTTTAAGACCCTACTTGCCCAATATTACGATTTTGAAGATCGTCACCGGCAGGCCCTCTGGGAAGCTTCCCAATTTCTGCCGATATCGGTTGCCCAGCGTCGATATGATCATGCTTTAAAAGCGACCTTCGTCAAATAACGGAAACAACGACGATCCCGATCCGGTTCCAAGTGGAAGAAACTTCTGCAGATAATCCGCCAAGGTATGATTGACAACCATTGCAATCTGGATGTCGTGTTGGATCCAATGTTTCTCCATTTTCCCCGCACAAGAGAATTCAAGATGTGGCATCCGACTTTACCTGCAGGGCGGACCATCATACCAAATCTGGTCACTGCCTTGTCCATGTGCAACACCGCAGAGCCTTGGAGGAACCAGTTTCGCTCTTCGATCTCTGGGCTCACTCCAAATCATCGGTTCCTCGGCTAGCTGGCAAATTTGTAGATGTCGCGTAATTCCTTTGGTCATCATTTTCATATCATGATCCTTTCATATAATTTCATTCTCATTCTCCTGGATCACGTTTCAACTCTTCCTCTTTTCTTTTGATCATTCGATCTGGATCGGAATCGTCGATATAAGACATCGTCGATCCAAATATCTTCGACGAAAAACTCACTTACATTTATTCCCTTCCACCTTCACGAGCAATCCTCTTACGCATTCTTCCCACTTCTTATTCATCGGCTGTTCGCCCTTACTCACGAGATCTTTCCTAGTGGGACTGCATCACCTCAAACCGATTCCGACTGACTCGTTTGCGCTCAATTTCTTCCAATAGCGCTTTACAATTCTGATCAGCCTCGTTCACCCAAGATGGATCGCTGTATCCTTTCCAAATACCAAAAATTGACGATGTACCCGTCTGTAACATGTCTTTCGCCCTGACTTTACGTCTACAACTCTTTCCACCTCAAACTCTCCTTCTTCCGAATTTTTCTCCCAGCTGTCTTCGGGCAGTAATGCTTCGTCAAAATCCACACGACTACTGTCATATACATTTGATTGCACTGCTGGGCGTTCGAAGAATTCTTTAACCAACTTCAGCTTTAAAAACATGGACCACCGAAAATAGCAGATAAGGCGTACCTGCGATTTTCAACCGGGCCACATGATCACCACATCTATTAGCCACACGAAACGGTCCATGCCACATATGGGCCAATTTTCTAGCATATCCAATCATTACACGATCCACATAAAGCCATACTTGCAATCCTCGCTTTACATCCAGTAGAACGTGATCCGCATTATGCTGGTCGGCTCGATCTTGGATCGCGATTTTAGTCGATCATTCACAACTGACCTTGCACGCTGAATATTGGCGTTGTATGTTAAACCTCCATCGTCGCGAATTTTGGTCTCTCAGTTTGGTACTCCCTAAAGGTAGGGCTGCTTCCAAAGTTGATCGCGGATCCCAACCATAAATAAAGTAAAACGGTGTATCTCCTCTTACGCGATCATGTGCGGTATTGATCGCGAAGGTTAGGCGTTACGCATATTCATCTAAATCCTTCTGGTTTTCATTGACCACATATATCTTGATCGCTTGTGTTAGAATTTCACCATGCGTTCCGCCGTGCCGTTTGCTTATGGCCTATAGGCCATAGTATCCCGCTGCCTTTGTCCTATGATCCAATATAATGCTCGGTAGAATCGGACATAAATCCTGGTTCTCGGTCGTAACGTATGACCTCGCTTGCACCAAATCGTCGAAATACACTTTCTTCGTAGTTTTCTGCAATCGTCTGATCAGCCTAAGACGAACTCGCTTTTGCGATCGCATAGTCAGAAATCAGATCGACCCACAATAATAATTCGCTGTTTCCTTTAATCGATTGCAATAATTACGAAATGTGATCCATATCCAGAAGTTGAAATGGATAAGTTGCCTGTAAATTACCTGGCGACTTGCCACGTCTACATGGACGTCCTTTGCCCGTTTCACAATCCGCACATTTGCCAATGCACACTCCGGCACAATCCTCGCCAATGAAATTTGCCCTGATACGTTGGTAGGCACGACCTATTCCTTGATGTCCATTTTTAAAGCACGTATGATAATGGTGTAATTTTTTTGCTGCAATAACTCTTGACCACCAAACGAACTGACTCATCACGTTCTCCGTACTTCCCAGTTGATTGTGGGCAGAACAACAGTAATCCGCTTTGATCCTCTTCGTAATCCGGCGCGATCCGGGCGCACATTTTAGCCTCTTCCGCTTTTAGCCTGGCAACGTCCTCGATCGAATATATCTTCAAATTGGCTAGCAAAATATCTTCATCTTGCGCCTGCCTTATGCGATCGACTCTATCCCTTTTAACCGAATCCTTCTTGTAAGATTTCGGACTGACAATGTCATTGTAATAGATCGAGTGATTGCAGCCATATTCACTACTTTATCAGGCTGATTCGGAAGCAACAACTCATTCAATCGATTAAGCGTGATTAAGTCTTGGCGTTATTGGTCAGTGAGATCGGTCACACCTTTCTCGCGCTGCAGAACTTCGCTTGCCGATCGATCGGCACTTTGGTTTCAATCCCGCTTTATCTGTAGGAAATCATGATTCGGCCACGATCGTAATGTCTTCATAGCCTTATGTCGTAACAATTGCAAACCTGGTGCTTTGCAGTCTATTTCGCCTCGCATTTGTCTATAACTAGATTTGAGTCACCACAGATGATCACACGTCCCCCAGTCTGATTCGCAAGCAAGCCGAAGCTAAGTAGTAGCTCTCGATATTCCGCTTCATTCACAGTCGGATCAGCGGCGAACTCCGATGCAGCAGCTATGACAGTCCATTCTGGTAACTTCCAAATGATCGCGCTATAGGCTCCACCTTTTCTTCTACTCTAGCCAATCCATCGAAACCGGCTACTAGGATGTTTTCACCCTTTTCAACTGTAGGTGGTGGCATGCTTTCGTTTGCCTTGGCTGCTTTCGCGGAGCGATGGCGATCAACACTTCATCCACTTCTGCACGGGGCGGTACACTTGCAGCCAACACACCGAGTAATTTGTCTTTACCCTTTTCACACCCGCGAATTTCTAGAGACCAGTTCAAAAGTAATGCAGCCCATCTTCCTAATCTTCCGTTGAGACCGAAGGATTGTAATAGCCAAGCTAACGTTAAAATCGCGTAAGAACTGCGATTTCGCGTGAGAC